ACCATCATAAAACAAAACAAACTCCTCGAGTCGAATCCCATTCATAGTGACCCTTCGTTGGGTTTCGGAGGCAGTATCACTACAGAAGTAGATTGACCAATCTTCCTTGTGAGGAGTGGCTGGTGAGTTTGAACCACCAGCCTTCTCGTTAGCAGTCAAAGGCCTTAGCATTATGCCACCAGAGCTCCCCTGACCATCCTAGAGAAACCAGACTCTGGCTGAATTGGCAACTGACGGTAGATGCTTGCATGAATATAGCCCAACAAGATCAGGTGAACTACCCAATGCACCCTTAGTTTGGTAAAAAATGAATGCTATTGTTAAAAGTCATCAGTTTTAGAGGTGATCTGTTACATAGCAAATGCTAATTGATACATTGACTTAAACAGTAACTATAGGTCACCATCCCAAATGATTGAGTCATTTTTCTCCAAGATTTGCAATGTTGTAATAGATTCTTATAAGTCCTTAAATATATATTTTTAAATTATATTCCACAGTAGTTTTTAGGGATAATTTTTATGTGTGTTTGTATCTTTAAATTATACTCTGCCATATGAGCATAAAAATTATGTAGTTTAAAAACGTATTCTAAGTTGCTTTTATAGGCTGTTTTAGAAATGAAAACAATAAGCTGTCTCTCTTTGAAAATGATAAAATATCAGCAAGCAATATTATTTAAATAATTCCTCAGTAATTTTCCATTGTAATTACATTAAGACAAATTATTTTAACAAAGGCAATGTGAATACAATGAATATTTCTATGGAATTGATAAGCTCTCTCTTATGAGCTCTCATACTTATAGAAAATATTAGTTAAGTGTCTTGAAGTTCTTTTTCTAATGAACAAAATAAATTTCTAAACCACAATGTACTAATCTGAACACATTTTAGTAAATAAAGATTTATATTTATCCTATATATGCTAAAAATGTTTTGAACAAAATTATATGTGTATGTGTGAATATACATATACAAAAATGAGTGGGCAGACATTATAAGCATATAATGTGCATAAATAAATAAAAAAAAAAAAAACTCACTGCTATCATGTTGGTTCCAACTCATAGAAACTCTTCATTGTGTTTCTGAGGCTGTAAATCTTTATGGAAGCACATAGCCCCATCTCCTTCCGTGGAGCAGCTGGTGGGTTTGAACCTCCAACTTTCTCCTTAGCAGTAAATGTCTTATGCCCTGTGCCACTGGATCTCCTATAATACGTATATGTATGTCTCCCAAAACTCAATGCCATAGAGTCAATTTGGCTCATAGCAACCCTATGTGACAGAGTAGAGCTGCCCTGTAGGGTTTCCAAAGGTGTAAATCTTTATGGAAGCGGAGTATCACATCTTTATCCTGCGGAGCGCTGGTAAGTTCTAACTGCCCATCTTTCCATTAGCAGCTGAGCACTTTAACCACTGTACCCAAGGGTTCCTATACAAATACATTTGTATTTATATTTTATATATTTACACATGCTGCAAATTTTATATTGAATCCCAATAATTTTAGAGTGTTTTCAACCAAGTGCTGATTGCTTAAAGTCTTCTTTTTGCAGCAACACTAAAGTGCAGGTCATTGTTTCTTGTTACTAAAATGATTTGCTAATGGGAAAATTAAAAAAAAAATTCTTATTTAAAATTATTTTCTATCTTTGCTTTAAATGTCATAAATACTGAATATCTTTCCTCACACCACCAGTATCCCGATAGAGAATCTGTATAAAAATGTGTCATGGCTATAACGCAGATAGACTTTTTGCATGATTCATACTAATAGATGTTATCTCATTATAAAAACAACACAAATTGGTGAGAGTAGGATGAGGAAAAAACATGTGAAAAATGAATGAAGGGTTGCAATTGTAAGTTACTGTCAAGTTGATGTTGACTCATGGTAACTCCATGTGTTCCTCCCTCCATAGGGTTGTCAAGGCTGTGACCTTTCAGAAGCAGATTGCCAGGCCTGTCTTCTGAGGTTCCTCTAGGCAGATTAGAACTGCCATTCTATATTATTACCATGCTTTGGTGTGAAATATATAACTTCCAACTGAGTTGGACTAAAAAAAAAAACACAACCAAACTCTCTACCATCAAATGGATTTCAACTCATAATGACCCCTTCTGGGTTTCCGAGGCAGTAAAATGCCTTAGGCACTGCACCATCAGAGCTCCTCATCAAATGTCTAATAACTTATTTAAGGAGCCTTGGTGGCACAATGGTTAAGTACTCGCTGTTAATTGTAGCATCTCTGTGAAAGACTGGTGATATGTACCCATAAAGCTTGTAGCCTAGAAAACTCTATAGGCAATTCTCCTCTGTCCCATGAGGTCACTTTGGGTTGAAAATTGACTTAACACCACTCAGCAACAACAGAACAATAACATAGTAACACGCTTCTTTGGGGGCAAAAAAACTAATTCTCCATTGCCTTTTCCTTGTCTTCTTTCCCCCTGTCATGGAAGTAATTTAGAAACAATTCTTAATATTCACTTATGAGAAACTGATTCTGAAGTCCATGTGTGATTGCTGTGGAAGACTGTGCTGTGCACAATCCTTTTTATACATTTAGGGAAGTATCATATTATGACAAAGTACTTCAGAATTCTTACAACACAATGTATTAAATATATCAACCCAATTTCATTTTTGCAAGATAAATGGTGGCATTCATATATTTTATTTTTTTTTTCATAATTCTTTTTATGCATACAAGATTCAAAACCACATAACCATGGAAAAAGCAGTAATCTTGTGTATTAACCAGGAACTCTTATTAATGCTTAACTTTCTTACTATTGCCTTTAAGCAGCTACAGTTTATCCATATAAGAAGAGGTTATACTATAACACTTCTATGGATAATTTTTTCTTTCTTTGCCTGTTTTATCCATTTTCTCTGTAAATGTCCATAATTGTTACACTAAAGTCAACAAAAAAATTGAATAGAAACTATTTTTCATGGCTTTGCTTCTCTTACTTTATAAAGATGAAATAATTGGCACTATACACAGCTGTTGAGTATACTTCAATTCCTAGGCATCCAAACAAAAGGTATTACAAAGGCACTAACAAAGGGATTGTACCTAGGATTGAAAAAAAAACAACAATAACGACAAAAACAACCCCTCAAGTGAGGAATCAACAAATTAATTTTTTGAGAGATCTAGTTTCAACCTAATTTATAAACATAACCATATCCCTTATTCTCATTAAAGTAATTCTAGTCAGTTGATTTGTAAGAGTGGTCTCATTGTGTCAATATAATTGTATATGTCCTGATAGGGAAATTAGGAGGAAGCATTAGTAAAATAATTTATTTTGAGAAAACTTCTGCTCCTTTTATGAAAGTTAGTTATCCATTAACAAGAGTAGGAGCACATACCTTCTTGATAGCTATCATTAGGTGAAAAAATTACAAAAGTGTGGGGACCACTTTCCAGTGGAAAACCTGAGATCATTTATTTATTCTTTATGAAACTCATCTATAATCTCTCTTATTTAAGGCTCTAATAAATATAATGAGGAAGCCTAGTGGTGCAGAGGTTAAGGGTTTGACTGCTAACTGAAAGGTCTGCGGTTCAAACCTACCAGCCACTCCATGGGAGAAAGATGTGGCAGCATGCTTCCATAAAGATTATAGCCCTCTAAATCCTACGGGACAGTTCTACTCTGTTCTGTAGGGTCACTATGAGTTGAAATCAAGGAGTTCTGGTGATGTAGTAGATCAGGCATTTGGTAGCTAACCAGAAGTTCAGAAGTTGAAAACCACCAGCTACTCCACAGAAGGAAGATGAGGCAATCTAATTTTGTAAAGATTTACAGCTTTGGAAACCCAATGGGGATCACTATGAGTCAGAATCAACTCAATGGCAGTGAGTTTGGTTTTTTTTTTTTTTTTAATTGGAATCAACTACTCAATGGCAATAGAGAATAGTTTGATTTTTTTTTTTTTGGTAGTAATATAATAAATTTAGGCAATACTAGTACTTTCAATTAAAAGCAGAAGTATAAATAGGTCCTAATTAACAATATTACTAACTTTGTTTCCTATATTTGACTGAACATCCCCTTTCACTGTTGTTGTTGTTGTTGTTATGTGCCATCGAGTTGGACCCAACTCATAGTGACCCTTCCCTGGGTTTCCGAAGCAGTATCACTATGGAAGTAGATGTGACATTATATTTCACTGTAATCACTCCTTTTCTATCCCAAAATATTCCATAATCTATGCTTCTTGTTGTCATGTGCTGTCAAGTCGATTCTGGCTGGCAATCTTCCTATCAGAGTACAACTATCCCAAAGGGTTTCCTAGGCTGTAAATATTTATGGGAGCAGATCTCCAGTTCTTTTCCCTGCAGAACTTCTGGTGGGTTCAAACTGCTGATCTTTGGGTTAGCAGTCAAGTGCTTAAGCCTTGCACTACCAAGATGATTTTAAATATGTTGTCTATAACTCTCAAAGCATCCTTGTACAGTAACAGCTTTAGATTTGTATTCACAAGGTCAAATGTCATACAGCTATTGAAGTAAATGGCAGGTTTTAGGATTAAAAACCAAGTCACTGTGATTCCAAAGCTTTCACTTGTTTCATTTCACCATCATTATTGATAAACCCTCACTGAGCTCCTGCTAAATACAGCACTATTTTTAAAATGTTTGAGATACAGAGTAGTAAAAACTTGCCCTTGCTACTAAGGAACTTACACGCTAGTTGTGGAGAGGAGATACATGTATAAAGAAACAAACATCGTAACAGGGCATATCAGGGCTGTGTTTGTGGTAGTGAAAGGAGGTCAAGTCCCCATTGGAACAGACCACAAAGGAGGTCAGTAATAGAGAATGTCACATTTCACAGTGCATTACATGATTGCTTCAGGTCATCTGTCTAGAGTAAGCTAAGGGAGATAAACATTACATGCTCAGAAATAAATGACAAGCTGGGCAAGTTACCTAGCTTGTCAACTGTAATCTTCACGTTTTGGTCAATGGCGCCTTACCTTTTGGCCATACTCAGCTGATCCACCTGGTCGGGTTCCACTCTTAGGAGCTTCAAACACACTCCTTAGCTCATCAAGAGCAATGGAGAAGCGCTCGATCCTGCGTCGACTGCTCACGGAATCCTCCTTCAACACTTCAGTTTGGCCATATCTCTGGGAATTGTCACTCTTGTCCTCAAGAGCCTTGTCTGGGATTGAGATTAACATCTCTTCTATACTGCAAGGCTGACTTGGGGGATCTGGAGATCCAGGAGCTGACACTAGCTCTCCTTCAGGTTCAAGCAATTTCCTTTCTCGGTGTTGGAAGAGCCTGCAATGGCTCCCTCCGGGACAGCATTCACTTTTCTGGTAATCGCTGGATTCCCATTTCTGCCTCAGGAGGTTCAGGGAGCCTTTTTGCATGGGGAAAATGGATGTCTCCAGGTTGTCCTGTAACATCAAAATCCTATCATCAAAGATATGTTCAGGTGTGTGAGTCACTTTCAAAACACCACGTTAAGCAGGACCAGCTCTGGGGGCCTGTGTTGCAGTTCTGAAGTCCAGCTTTGCTATATGCTTTCTGGCTATTGACTTAACCCCACAGTCATGTCGTCTAAACTAGGGCTGGGATGATTATGAAGGGGGCAGTTTGGAGAGACATGTTTGGAGAAACAAAAGCTAGGAAAACACAAATTTCTTTCCCTTTCTTATGTAGAAAATCTGTCAATAATTATTTACAATGTAAAAGTTAGATATTGAAATGAATGAGATATTCATTCATTGTTCAGTATATTCTGATAAAAGATCAATTGAACAAGTGCAACACTGAAGGAAAAGGATTCATTTCCTGCCTATAACTGTTCATGATTTTCTTTGAATTGGTTTCTGTAAATGTCTTACTTACAATAACAACCAACAATTAAGTGTTTGCTATAAGGCAAACACTTTGATAATAAATTTATATGTATATATTCTATTAATCTCTACATAATCACAGTGAGCTATTACTTCTACATTCCTAGAGAATGAGAAGTAGAATAACTTGCCCAGTGTTCTGAGTGATGGAGCCTGGATTGCAAATGAATTTGTGTAACTCCAGAATCTGCCCTGTTGAAACTGTTGGAGTTTAATGTCTCTAGTTCTTTAAGAATAACTGTCCAGTTTATGCCTCATTGTGAAGCTGAATGAAATGTCATTTTGTTTTAGAGTTTTGTGGTGAATAGGAGAAAAACATCAAATGGCAAAATATACTCTTACCAGGAATATGCACACAAATCTTAGACAAGAATTATGTGCTAGCATGAAATGTTGTTGCAGAAGCAGGGCTTCAAAGAGGTTTATTCCTGTTTGACCCCCTTTAAGAGTTTCAAGGAGCTCTGGTGGGATAGTGCCTTCAAATGGGTGCATTCTGGTTTAGCCCTCTGCTGAGAATTTTTGCATTACAATTGAGATATGCTGAATCAGAATCTACATTTAATCTCCTTAAAAAGTGATTCCGACTCAGCATATCTGGGGTACAAATGCAAATTCTCGGCAGGGGGTAGAACTGGACCCAATTAGCTTGAAGCCCTGCAAAGAATTAGCCACTCAGTGTTCTATGTAGGAGATTTTGTGCTGCAAATTTGAGACTTTAAAAAATAAATTAAATTATAGAAGGATGATGCATTTTCTTGGAAATGTATCTTCAAAGGGGGTATGATAAACAGCCTCATGTAGATTAAAGCCTGGAAGTGTCTCAAAAGGTCACCTAATACAATGACCCTAGTTTTCTTTGACTGCAAGCCACATTATGGAAAACATTTTATGGACTGGTACTCAGTGCACATACTGTATCAATAAGTATGTATAAAAGATACTATTGTTTTTATTAAACAATAGTTTCCTTTAGCATATGAAATAACATGTAGTATTTTCCAATCTGATCTCTCTCTCTCTTTTTTCTAAGTTAGCTTTGCACAAATTTGATTTAATGGTCTATTAATAGGCCCAAACTGCTGGGTAGCTCCATTCTTAACAGCAGGAATTTAATCCCAGGCTTGGCTTTAACCAACTATGTGACTTTCCAAAAGCTTCATTGGTTAAATGGTTATATCCATCAAGGCTTTATTTGAAAATATAAATTAAATAACATAGATAAAACTTCTTGTGTATACAAGATGCCCAGTGACTTTTCCATTCCCAGCCCCATCTGGCTATAATAATATTATTTTAATCACTCAAGCATTTATGTTATACATGAGACTTATAAATAAGTCATAGAGGAGAATCTATACACTAAACAGACTGGACAATATGACTTTAATAATATTGCTTATTAATACATTTATATTATTCGTTTCATACAGAAAGTCTCAATAAAACAGTGGCACAAACTGGAGAAAACATAAACTGTTTATGGACCTTGGGACCTGAGATGCAATGTAAGGGTGGATTATCTGTTTTGTTTGTTTGTTTTGTACACACCGAACTGGCTGCTTGGAAGCCAGCAACCCAGAAACTCTAATGAGAGGAAACAAAAACAAACAAACATATGTATATATATATATATATATATATATATACATACATACACACACACACCCCAGGAGCTCTGGTAGCATAGTGCCTAAGGCACTTGACTGCTCACCAGAAGGCTGGCGGTTCCAACCCACCAGCCACTCCTCGGAGGAAGGTTGGCCAATCCTACTTCCGTAGTGATACTGCCTCGGAAACCCAAGGAGGGGTCGCTATGAGTCGGGGTGACTTGACGGCAAACAACAACAACAACATATATATATATACCCCAAGAAAAACCTGCTCTTTCTAACCAAAAGAGGGAAAGAAGCAACTTAGCAAGATAGAAACATTTCAAACAGTAACTGCCATACCCCATAAAATAATATGGAAAATATCATAATCAAACCCTCATATGCATCAGCAAAAGCCAAGTAATAAGTCTAAATCTCCAACTTTTCCCAGCTGTAATGAGGTGCTTCTTGCCACATATCCACCTACTTGTCCACCTTGGTATCAGAGAAGATGGATTGGGTACACAAAACTTTGATTTCCCATTGGACTACAAGACCTCCTGCAGATGTTAGAATCCTGGACTTTTCCCCCATCTATTGGTAATGGGAAGATTCTCCTTCTCCCAGCTTTTTTCAAAGGAAGTCAAGTTGGAAGCTGGAACTTTCACCATTGTCCAGTGGTAATGATCCCTGTTGGCAGTGGTGACAGTTGAAGCCATGTGCAGAGCAATAAAGTGTCCCTCTCCTTCCCATCCAGCCAGGGTGGTGTCAGCATAGACATGGTGGGGAATCTGAGATCTCATCTTCACCCAGTGGTAATGTGTGACCCCTACAGAGTGTCAAAGGAGAATAGGTTGGGAACCTGGACTTCCATCCCTAGTTGGCAATATGGAGGCAGCCCTCCTTCACCTACTGAAAGAGAGCATTTAAGTGAGATCCAGAGTCTCATATCATAATTTTCAAAATGTTCAGAGTCCAACTGAAAATCACTAATTACACAAATAATTAGGAAAATATAAACTTAAGAAAGAGAAAGATAATCAATGTTCACTTAACATGGGGTTGACACAGATGTTGGAATTATCAAATAAGGATTTTAAAATACCATAATAAAATAGCTCCAGTGAGCAATCACAAACATAGTTGACATTTTCTTTTCTTTAACAGAAAGACTTGGCAAAGAAATAGAAGATACATCAGAAGAATCAAATGGAAATTTAAAACTGTGATACAAGTCACCAAAATAAAATAACACACTGATAGGCTCAATAGTAGAGTAGGCCAAAAGAAAAAGATCAGTAAACTGGAAGATAGAACAATAGAAATTACCCAATCCAAAAAACACAGAGAAAATAGAATGAAAATAAAAGAAAAAAAAGCATCAAAACCTCAGAGAACCCTGGGACTGTAATAAAAGACCTTATATTTATGTCATTAAACTCCCAGAAGAAGAGAGAAAAGATGGTGAAGTTAAAAAAGTATTCAAAGAAATAATAGATGAAAATTACCTAAATTTGGAAAAAGATATGAACTTTCAGATTCAGAAGATGAGCTAATTCCTAAGAGACCTTATAAAAAAGACTTTCAGAAAACTAAGTTTAATAAAAATAATTCTTGAAAGCAAAGCAAAGCAAATGAGCTTTATATACAGAAGAAGAATAATTTAAATGACAACTGATTTCATACCAGAAAAGAACTGTGGACCCTGAAGTCTCTTTCAGGAGAAATTATCACTTAGGACTGAAAGATTAAACAAGAAATATTTAATATGCTTAATATAAAGAATTATTAAGTATGATAAAAGAAAAAAGTAATATAAGACAATAAGGACCAACTCAGATTAAGTAGGAGTTGGGAAACACTGAATTAAATACATTTTAAATAAATTTCCCAGGTGATTTTAAGGAAAGTGGTCTAAAATCCATACTTCAAGAAACACTAGTAAAGAAAATAGTTGTTTATATGGCCTTACGGAGATAATATCTGCCAAGATTTAGTGTGTACACATGAGCAGACATTCACGTTCAGATTCCAAAGGCTTGACTTCATGTTGCCTCCAGGTGATCTGTTATCTCATGTGAAAGAGTATCAAGTGTGTAGAAGGAGAATTTTTAAGCAAGTAAAGCCATGGGCAAAAACTAATTTGCCAGTGTATTAAAAACTGAATTCTTATCAAAGTCTTGTTATGTCTTGTGATTTCTGTAAGAATTAGCTCCTTCATCTATTATTTTAACAGGGAACTTACTTCCAATCATAATAATAAGAATAGGCTTATGGCCTATTTCATAAAACAAGAGCAACAACAATGACTGTCAAGCACACTGATTCACATAGAGAAAATCTCAGTGAGAAAAAAAAAAATCATCAAATGCTTTCCATTCCACTGAAATTCGCTAAAGGCAAATTATAAATAAGACTTGTAAATAGTCTCATATGGTTGATTTACTAAAACTTCTTGTAAATCATAATTCTTGTTGCTGGTAATTGAAACTATATTTTGATATACTTTGCTCCTAGGAGTGTTTCAAGTTTCAAATGTGGGTAGGTATTCACCAACTTGAAACACGTTTCCAAATCTAAGAAATATGTGATTATTATGGAAGGGTAGGGAGTATAAAGATGTTAGTAGTCTTATCTGTGGCAAGAGTGACGAAAGTGTTGATATATTTGACCTATATTTCTAAAATAGAAAAAGTATCCTTTTTCACCTTTAAATGATTACTTAATAAAACAAGAGCATTCTTTACATGTAAATGTCTCAGGAAGCATTTTTATAGTCCTAAATAAATAGAAGTCTTAAAATTTAAAGAGAAATAAATGTTTATATAAATTATGGCCTCACAACACAATTAAATTATGTAGTCATTTGGAATGATAAATATGAAAATGACATAGAAATGTTGAAATGGACTTAGT